TTTGCATTGTAGGTTATGCAAAACGATGACAACGTAGGTTTGTCGAAGATAAATACAGTAAAACCTCTCTAAGATGAACATTAACGGGACTTTTAAAAAAAAGTTCACTAAAGGAGGTGTTCATCTTATGGAGTTTTCACATTGAATGAAGTTTTACATGTATACAGTGCATGGTTAGTATCGATGAATGATAATTATGCACCTTTTATATTAAAATCTATTACGGTTAATGCCAAATAAAAAAAATATCTTTTTCAGCTATTACACATATTTATTCAATTATCATGTAACAAAGTAAAAAGAATATTTTTTGTCTTTAAATGATTAAACATCTGTTCAATTTCAAACAAAAAGAGTCGGAAAAGTATTTTTATCTATTATTTACATCTATTTATTTTTTATGAAAAAAGTCGTTAATCGTCGTTTGTTTGACTCCTTTCGAGTCGATGAAAAGTTGGATAAGTTGGAAATCCAATTGCGAAATAAGTGAATGTAATTGTGGTTGTTGAGTAGCAGCCAGAATATGTAGTCGTCGAACCATTTCCATTTCTTCGATGAGTTTAGGTGGTGTTTCAGTTGGCATGTCGTCATCTTCGTTGTTATCCGTGGTTATCTTCTCATCACAGTCTTTATCGACGACGATCAGATCGTCGTTGATATTGTTCCACTCGTTGAAAGCTGGAGTTTTTGAATCGATTTCGATAAATTCATTAGCAGTAAGACTATGCTCGCCGATGTTGATATGAGCAAGAAGTGTATCTAAATTTCGTAAAGCTGTTGAGACGTCGTCAGTAGTGTTTTCATCGTCAAAAATCGTTATTACTATTATTGCTCATTGTAGTACTGGTCTCATCTTGAGTGTTTGGATAGACGAAACCCGCCATACGAAATGTATTGTAGATTATCGTTTGAGTAACAGCTTGCCAAGCACTTTTCGTCTATTGTACCGCATCGAGAGCTGTAATGACAATATCGTTAGGTGAACTGGCGATGACACCGTGATATTACCTGCTTAGTAAGCTGTTGACCTAAACGAATAGATAATGTTGTTTAGCAAAATAAAAATAGTCATATTACTCACAATAGTAACAATTGAAATTCTTGATAATACCCTGGTCAAGCAGCTGCAGCTTCGAAATTGTATTTGGAGGAAAAAATTTAAGAGTGATGTTGGAGTACTGAGCATCGGAATTATGACAAGGAGCATGGTTGATGAATAATAAGATTTTGCGCTTTTGCTTGATCATGCTGTTGTTTATACTTGCAAGTCATTCATCGAACAGAGTAGCAGTCATCCAACTCGTACAATTCCATCGTCATGTGACAAGTAATTGTTTGATATTCAAATTTCTGAAACAGCGTGCTTTCGCCGCTTTGCCTAGAACAAAAATATACATAAGGATAATTAGTTTTAATCGAATCTAGGGTTGAAAGCTTACCGATAAGTAATGGCTGTAACTTGTCTTTACCTGTCATGTTCGTGCAAAGAAGAACGGTAAAACGTTCTTTCGATCGTTTTCCACCCTTGCAAGTTTCTTTGGCCATGCCGAGAAGACGATTAGGTAAAGCTTTGAAAAATAAACTAGTTTCGTCAGCATTGTAAACGTCATTGGGATTGTATTTATCAATTATTAGTGAAAGTCGATTTCGCCATTCGTCAACAGTTGCAATGTGCACTGCTGCAGATTCTTCACATATGATTCGATATTGTATGCCGTGACGTATTCTAAATTTTTCGAGCCAGCCATTACTAGCCTTGAACTCATCAGCATTTGCTCCACTCAGGTATTGACGAATTTGCTGAGCTTGTTCCTGTATGAGTGGACCTGCAATATGAATGTTCTTACTACGTTGAATGAGGAATCATTCGTAAACTTTTAGATCGAGCTGTTGATTAAATTCATCTCGAAAGTTGCGTTTCTTGGTGGATTTTTCATTTTGTTCGTAACTTTCTATGTATTCTGCCTTGCGTTTGATAATATTTGATACGCTACCAATCGAGATTTTGTACTTCTCAGCAAGTGTACGATATGAAGCATTCTCTTCATTTTCACGAATTAATTGCACTTTTTCAGATAAAGTTAATGTGTTTTTTGTCGCCATTTTACCATCGAAGATTGAAATGTGCGTTATTCTGTCACATAGAATCGATTAACTCATCGCGGACTATTCTTTTTCATTGTTCTGTTTGTTTCATACATACGACAAAGCTTGTTATGATGAATTGACCGTCAAAAATTGACTTATCATCGCTTTATTATGTACAGTCTATTTTTTTATCTTCTTATTTCATACATGGACGCATAGTTCGTCACTGTGTGTTCACTATACAGAGGTTTCTTCTACAGATAGGATCGAAAAAAGAGTTCATTGTTCAGAGTCAGGAGGTGTTCATCTTGCCGAGGTCTATTTACAGAAAAAATCGATCGGTGTGACTGAAACATTTGTTCAAACAGGAGGTGTTCATTATAGAGAGGTATTAATTAATAGAAGTTTTACTGTATATGTATGGTCCAATCTTGTAAATATTGAATAACATGCAAGAGCAGAATCTTCAATAAAACAATTCATTGAAGAGTTTCATTTATGCTTTTCTTCAAGACTCCGACAAGAAATAACAAATTTCTTTTCATATTACGACACATTTGGAAGAAGGAAACCATCACTCCGCAGATAAGTTAAAATCATCTTGTCAAAAGCTCTAACTGCGCAAGCTAGAGTACTTAGATACAATATTCCAGAGACATTGTGTCTTTTGATGCAACTTGCATCCGCTCACTACCAGGCTTACAGATGATAAGCTAAATGGCTGCTCAGATTCTCGAAAGGAGATTGTCTGCAGCAACAACATATATAATAATGGTAATTGTTGTTTGGTTTCTGACTGCCACCAGTGAGTAACAGTGTCGGGTAATGGAACTTTTTATTTTTCGACTTGTAACTTTCTATTTCATATGAAAAAGTAGCCACTAGTATATAGCACACTATGAGAAAATAGTAAATTTTTATAGCTACCACTAGAAACTGGGAACTCTATTTTAGTTTATTATTAATCACTTTGAAACAAGGTTACCAAACTGTCATTCACAATAGTGCCATGTTGAGTTACGAAATGCAAATGGCAAACCATTTTTTCAGTTGCTTCTATGAACGAGAGTTATTTTCTCGAGATATTTATATTGATATCTAAACTATACAGAATAAATTTATTAAAACTGTTTCCCAAATTAGCATTCCTTACTATAGTTTTCACTATTTCATAATAAATATATTTTTGATCTTTTCGTAACATTCACTAAATGACAAAGCGAAATGTTGACAGTTGGTTACCTTTCATTGACGAGATGATCAACCTATTCATTCTGTGAAGTAACATCTTCATTTTTCACATTCTGCCGTTATTTTCATGTTATATTGCATTAAAGCCATATGGATATTAATTGATGTGAGTGAAGAGCGAAAAAAGAATCATGCATCTGTCAACTATTCGATCATTTCTATAGTTCAACTGATTCTTGTTGTGGTCAATAGTCGATGCAATCAATTGTCGTCACCCAATTCGGTCGTTTAACTAATTGTCGTCTTGCCTAAGAGAAGTTAAGCAAAACAAGCCTTGCGAGCACGAAGCCAGCGTTCTCATAACCGAAACAATAATACTCATTTTCATTGCTTTTATTGATATTCAATGATGGCCGCCTTTTGTTGATTCTTTTTGCCAGGGCGTCAAAAAAAAAGAACTTATATCTTATATGATGGACAACCCTGATACTGAGCTCGTTTTTTGAATCATTCTCAATAGACTTATCATTTGAAATAATCTAACAATTTTCCTCATTGCTAACGTGCAGTACCTTGATCGATTTCAATGACTCATAAATAATTGCTCATTAAAGCAACAATTGGCCATTCCGACTAAGGGAGGATTTCAAAACGTTTGCCTTTCGGTCGGCCGCTCTGCCGTTCAGCCGCTCGCCCGCTCTACCGTTATGCCGCTCTGCCGTTATGCCGCTCTGCCGTTATGCCGCCCTACCGTTATGCCGCTCTGCCGTTATGCCGCTCTGCCGTTATACCGCTCTGCCGTTACGCCGCTCTGCCGTTCTGATGCCGCTCTGCCGTTCAGTCGTTCTGCCACGGCATAACGAATTTGTTTTAATTACATTTTGATACATTGATTGTTTCTTTTGATGTATGTATACGTATATACGACACATATTGCTGTTTTTCTATCCAATATTCTTTAGCCCTAGACTATTCATTTATCCAAAAACAGTGAATTTTTTAACTCGTGATAAGACTTTTGTCGAACTTTATTACGTT